GGAACTCTCAGAACACCGCACACTGTGAGCCCAGAACACACCCTGCCCTCCCAGCAACACTGCCTGTGGAGAAGCCCAGGCCCAGCGTTCATGGAGGCCATAGGTTTTGCCATCCTAAGTAATCCCAGGGTAAATCCTTTGGAAAACAAATATGCAACCCAGAATGTCTCCTTCCTGCCAATGCACAGATTCAAGTTATTACATTTTTTTAAGGTAGAGTTCCCTCTCCTGCTTTTCCAGAGGACCATATTGAAGCAATAAAAACAATGGACCACCTTTCATGATGGATCTCCCAAAATGCTCTATTGTTCCCAGTTCATTTTTTTGACTAGTGTTGGCCGAGCCCCTGCCTGAGACCAGGCCCTGGGGGTATGGGGGCAATAAAAACAAGCAAAGTTCCTGCCCTCGTGAAGCTGACATCCCAGTGGACCAGGAGGTGCTTCATTCTGACAAAAAGCTGGCTTCCCGATGCTGTCATTCCCTATCTTTTTCCCCGGTTGCCTTTCGTGTGTGTGTGTGTGTGTGTGTGTGTGTGTGTGTGTGTAACCAAAAAAGGCACGCAGATGAAAGGAACTAAAGGAAACCAGGGAGTTATGTCCTAATGCCAAATGTCAGGAGCAGGACTGTTCAGCGTGGCGTACTCATGGAAGAAGGTGATGCTCAGACCCAAATAGCTTCCAACATTCAGTGTAAGGTCAGGAATCAAAAAGATTTCCAGAAAGTACATGTACTTGGAAGTTTATTCCTTTAATACATCACATCTCCCTCTCCCTCCTTTCCTTTTCCTGTCTTGCGCGCGCTCGCTCTCTCTCTCTCTCTCCCCCACCCACACACACACACAGCTTCCATCCCACCAAAAAAAAAAAAAAACCCAAAGATATACACACACACAAATACATAAACCATACCAAACTACACAAAGACACAAAATACACATGATAGGAAACCCAGGCATGCCCACATAAAGGCAAGCATCATATATTTTCAAGGACACACTGACACTCACAAACATACCGATTACCTTCTCTTACCTATAACAGAATGGCCATAATCACAAGCAAAAGTACACACATGTCAAAACACTTTCTAACACAGGCTGTGATTCTCAGTCCAGCTGTCCCTGTCCCTCTCTGCACTGCTTCTGTCCCTCTATGCACTGCTTCTATAAGGTTCTGAAGATTAAACTGTTGGTAGCCAACTTCATATACATGCCTGTAAACAAGAGGGCTCAGCTTTAAATAATCATGTCAGAGAAATGACAACTGTGCTCTTTGCCAGTACAGGGATGAATAATTACAAAGCCAGGACATAATTAAGCAATTCTGACTGTTGGATTCTTGAACTGTCTGATATGTAGGGCTGGCATGTCCACCATGCACACCCTTCTGGACAGGCCTCACATCCCTTTGATTTATGTTTCCTGATGCGGCAAGGGGGATCACGGTCTGGTCATCACAGAAGCCTTTCTTTGGGAGCCTCAACCTTCTCTGCACCTACCTTGGTCCTCTTGGCATCGACAATGGCATGATTCTGTGGTCAATATTTGCAAAAGACACATATTTTCTTTAAAATTCCAGGAAATGAACACAACCTAGCTGCTGTAGGTCCCTTAACTAATAACACACACACAAACATGCATGTACGCACATATACACACACCAGTCTAGAAGAGTCCATTGTAACATTAGCTATCATTTCCCTAATGAAGGATGGCATCCTTCTGTAGGACAATCAGAGCTCAGACAGGAAGCAGCTTTTAAACAACAAAAGCCAAAGGCAGCAAACAAAGGGGAAATGTGTCATAGTGAGAGAAGGCGAGCGAGAACTCGCACTCAGGTGCCAGGGCCTGCCAGGTACCAAATCAAACCTCTGTGACATAGGGGGTTTATTAGTTCCTGGACGATTTTGCATTTGCGTCAGCTGAGAACACCCAGACTGCCTGTTCCCTACCTCTAAGGCAAGGGCTGTGATTGGAGAGGCATTTTCCATTCTCCCAAATACTTTATGTCAGGAATAAAATGAAAACAGCTCCCCAAATCACGGCCTCCTTGATCATCCATCAGAGCATTCTGCTGAATAAGCACAACAGGCCGCTGCCGCCTGAGAAAGGACAGGAGCCAACTTGAGATTCCGATTCTCTTATGAAAAATAGGTCTTCACCAAGTGTGCTCAGCACAGTGTTGGCAAATCACAGGGAGGAAATTGCTCTCCACTTAGAAGCCGACTCCGGGTGTACACATACCTCCCAGGACATACATATGTATATACACACAGAGATAGAAAGTGTATATACACACCTGCACAGGAACAAACATATGTCTGTGCACACTGTGAGCAGGCGAGAACCAGCCTTTTTAACACCAATTTATTAATTCAGCAAGAAGCTCATTTGGCCTCTATCTGCAAGAAAAGTACCAGTGTGTTTCTCTGAAAACAGGCAAAAGGGAATTGCCTGGCATTCAAGAAGCATACAGTTTGATATGAAACCAGGAACACAGGGAAATCCTCTAGTGCACCTGAAGCATCACGGTGTATATACAGCACTTACCTAGAAGCCTAGACCCTGGGTTCTAATCCCAGGTCTGCCTGTGTTGGACTATGGGGGCCTTAGGAAACTACATCCTCACCCAGTTCCTTCACCACCAGGAAGGAGAACACACACCAGGTGAGAACACACACCAGGTGATTTCTGAAGTCCCTCCAGTTTGGAAATCACGTAATTCTACAAAAAGGTAACAACTGAAGATCCCCGTGTTTTGTCAGAGTATTTTTGTCTCTTCTCAAATAACTAATGGGTATTTTTATGCTTAATACTATTAGTAAAGATATTGGAGTCAATCACACAAACATAAGCTAATTCTATAATTGATTAGAAACTAATTTGGGACTTTGAAAAGCATTTCTACTGATGCTGCTAATGACTCAAAGAGTCAGCTACTACCGGATTTTAAGTAACCATTCCCACTTGGTTTCAAAGGCAGGGGAGGATTTCAGTCCCTGCTGCCCTCTCTACTCCAAGAGAACAGTTCAGCTTTCACCTGTTTTCTACCTTTAGGCCTTCTTATGAGCTTTTCATTTTGAACAAAGAAACACACGGGGAAAATGTCTGGCTCACTGCTCCAGAGCTAAGATCCGAGTAGAAGAGCATGGCTTGGTGGTCAGACACACCAGTAAAACTACAGTTCCCATGCTTACTGATCGGGCTGCCTAAGTGACACCTCTCGGCCTTAGTTACCTCACCTGTAGAATAAGCCAATGCTCCATTCCTCCTACATTGCAGTGTTCTGGAAGGACTCACAGATCTGTGTACAAAGAACCTTAGGACAGTGGTGAGCACACAATAAGCATCGCACACAAATATGGTGGCCATTATTTTTAGTATCCCTTCAGATCTTCTGTGATAATACAGAGCTTCCCCTGTCAAAAGCAAGGAGAGAAGGAGAAATACTGATCTATCCTATAAAGCGCATGTATATGTGAAGGTGGAAAATGTAGAATGGGTGGGAACCCAAGGTATTATAAACAGTCCACATGTTGTCCTTTGTTTGGTGATGTCAGCTGCCTCTGGAATCTTTTAAACCTCCCTCTCCCCGCAAAAAAAAAAAAAAAAAAAAAAAAAAAAAAAAAAAAAAAAAAAGAAGAAGAAGAAGAAAAAAAAAGGAGGCCAAGAAATAAATTATTTCATTTGGACAAAATTACAAAAGCTGGAATAACTAAAGGCAGTCATGAGCAATACATCAAATCTGTGCCTCGATAAGGAAAACTGTTAACACTTTAATAGCTACGAAACAAATCACTCAATTAATTTCCCACATGCTGAAACAGGTAACAATACATTTATCTGCCAGTATTATACCCTCCCTATCATATATTTCCACAACTGTTAGCAATTTTATTCAGCATAACAGGAAATAAGTTGCACCTCATGGGTTCAGGGAAAGAAAGTGGCCTGAGGTCTGCCGCCGGCTGAGCAACTTGATGGAAGAGGTTTCGTTTTTCTGTTTTGGTTCTGTTTGTTTTTTCCTCTTTCCCTCTTAATCATTTCCAATGCACGTGCAAAGTACTCCAAGTCAATAAGCGAGGACAAACTAGACCTCCAGGATTTCTGGGCCAGCGTTTTCAACACACAAGAGAGGGTCCAAAAAAGGAAGTAGCTAGGTAGCTCCATGGGGCCCCAGGGCACTGATGGACCTCCAAAGGGGTCATCAAGGATTGTCAGGTCCATTCCCCAGCCTTGGGCTTCGCAGGACCCCAACTCCTCCCAAAGAGATAATTTTCCACACCCTTAAAGACTTCCTTGAATCTGAAGCCAAGTCTCCCAGCCACATCTCCCCTGCCTCATCAATGCTGTCATTAAGATGACACCATAGTCACTTCCATGGCCTCCATGCAGACTCAGCTTATAAAGGAAAGGTCAGTAAAACTAATCCCATGAGCTCTGGAGAGCTACATGCAGGAAGCATACACTAGTCCAGGTCACACTGTCAGGAAAAATGGCCTTTCCCTCTAACAAGATCTCTGAGAGCTATTGAGCCCTCATACCTGAGGACAGAAGAAAATCACCCTTCCCTCCTGCTATGGCCCCAAGAAAAAAAGAGTTCTTAGTCACTAGAACAATCGTACCCACCCAAGAAAGATTAAATTCCCCAAGCTTTCCTCTCTTTCTTTTCTCAGCAACAGACCTCTAGAGGCCCTACCTTATAAATGAAACATCTTCAAGAAGAAGACCTCAAATATGCCCCCCAGAACATCACCATCAGGCTGCGTTATTGGTAAAAGAGCCATCTGGGTGAAATCACCCTACAAGTAAGGTCCCTTTAGATTACAGGAAAATCAAATTTATTCCCAGTCCTACTTGTTTGGCCAACAATATATCCATGGATAAACCCTAATAGGAGATCTCTCCTGAAATCTAAACACAGGACATCCTCCGCACTCAAAGAATAACCAGTGAGGCAAGACATAATTTCCTTGTGAAGACGAGAAAGTAGGCAGCTTACCTTGGGCTTCACCACCTTCATGAATGACCCTCTGACCAAAGCTTCCTCTCGTTCTTTTCTGGTTACTTTCCGGGCATCCAGAAACTTCAAATTGGGCAGTTTGTGCAGAACAAAGCATCTGAAAGAAAAGAGTCAGAGATAACTCAGGGGGGAGGTGATGCCCTCAAAGATCCATGCAATATGTCTCATGCCCAGGAATCCACATCATTAAGTCTTCAGAAGGTTAGATCTTGGCTGCTGCTGCTTCTTTCTTTCATAATGAATGATCACCCTTTACAGAAATCCAAATAATTATATTTTACATAGATACACAACTAAGCCTTAAAAATGCACAGTAATGTTTGCTCTTGATTCAAAGGTAGACACAGACACACAGACACAGACACACACACCTACCTAGATCAGCCAGGAAGATCCTATTGATGTATTTCCCTTCCTCCATTCTGGAAATGGGCCCGGCTTCTTTGCTACACACAAAATTCTCAGTGAAACTAACCTTACAACCTAATTGTACCATTTATGTCACTGCCATTCCTGTGGGCCATCTGTGTAACTCTTATCTCTGAGATAAAAACAAATCTTCAATTTGAAATGGAAGCAAGAGACACTGACTGGCCATCCAGGACAATAAACTAGAATGCAGGTTGTAATAACATGGTTGACTTTGGGATAGAAGTAAGAAGCACATATAGCTAAGAAATGCTTCCTTAAAGAATCAAAAAGGGGTCTTGAGGATTTTTTCACCATCCCTGAGTTACTTCCACACTAGCACTATGAAGATTATCAAGCTGAAACAAGAAGAACTTGTTTATAGGGGATATTTATTTAATAGCCCAACAAATACTAATACAAATTCCCAAGGAAAGAGTCTTTGGTGTCCATCATGGCCTCCAAGGATAAGCTAATGACTATTTGTGTGATGAACTGTCCTCAAGCAGGTATATTTGGAATTGAGGAGAAGATCCATGTGGCCATGGGATAGGCATATAAACATATAAATAAATACATAAAAAATATAGACACCTGCTTATACCTCTCCTTCCTCAAGGAAAATTACCAACCCACATGTTTTCCATCGAGCCCCTATACCTGATCACTCAAAGGAGCTATTGTTGTGGTCCCTGAGTGGCTTAGTTGGTTAAGCATCTGACTAATGATTTCAGCTAAGGTCACGATCTCATGGTCATGAGATTGAGCCCCAAGTCAGGCTCCATGCCCAGCATGGATTTTCTTTTTCCCTCTCCCTCTGCCCTTCCCTGCTCTGGCTTAACTCACTCACTCTCTCTCTCTCTCTCTCTCTCTCTCTCTCTCTCTCTCAAACAAACAAACAAATGAGCTATTGTTTAGACCTTGTCCTGCATAAGAAGAAGAGGTAAGTACCCAATTTCAAGAGCAATACATTACCTCCATAGGAATCTCTCATTTCCTTCCCATACCCAGCCTCCTCAGTATTCATTCATCTTTCAAATTCTGACCCATACAAACTTTTTTGGGGCATCTCTAGCCTGTACTGTTTTCTCTCTTCTCAGCACTCCCAGGATACACTGTTAGCACCATACCATCTAACATTTTGTTGTTTTGTAATCATTTTAATCATTTTATTGGTGTTTATGTGATGTCTTCTTAAAGGAGGGACATTTTTTTTTTTTTTTTTTTTTTTTGCTAATCCTCTTATCTTAAAAAGTAGCCTTGGAATGCACTCAATAAAATACCAATTTATTTCATTTGTACAAATATTTCTTGAGCATCTGGCATGTGCCAGACCCTAGGTATACAGAGGTAATTATAACATGATTCCTGCCCTTACAGGGGCTTTCAGTGTAATGGAGAAGAAAGACTCACATAGAGAAAAGAGAAATCAACATAGCTAAGTGCCAAGATCAGGGTTATGTGCAAAGTAGTTCTGGGAGCACAGAGAAAGGGACCTACCATTACTTACTGAATGACTGAAAACAAATGTCTTGAGGATGAAGAGGAGCAACAAGAAATCTCAAGGGATCTTCAAAGAACCAAATCCTAAAGCAACCCTACACATTGAGCTTTTTCTCAGGGCAAATGTTACCTGGGGTATAAAGCTTGCCCCCCACCCCTCAGATCCCACATTCATAAGACACTCTCACATCACCAAGTGGCCTCCATATACTTGCCCAGGTATAAGACTTGACTGGTTACTGAAATGCTAGAGAAAATAGCTTCGAGGCTTCCAGCCCAAATACTCCTTAAAGCGAAAATACTCTGAGTTCTTTTGAGGTATACTTTTCTTCCCCAGAAATGTCCACCCAAAACATCTGAGGTCCAGGATATTTGACTATATACTTCCTGCTTCTTCTCTGGTCTCAATCTAGTATCTTTTTTCCAACTTCTCCCTGAGCCTCACCCTTCCCTCTCCAAAGGCCCCCTAACCTTATCCAAAATCAGAAAGTTTCCACAAAGTCCCAATGACCCTTCTATCCTCCAGTAGAACTCCGACTGGCCTCAGTCAGTGTCAGAGAAAACTTCCATCTTCTGCTTGTAGCAGCAAAGCCTTGATGACAACAGATTCTTTCAAATAAAGACATGTACAGACGGAAACAATATGTCAGGAGTGACGCTCAGAGGAGTAAAGACACCCACTAAGTGTAGGGTGGGAAAAGATGAATATTCAGGTGAAGAAAACATCAGTATTAGAAAATCAGCCAATGTTTAATGATGGAATGAAAGATGTCTTCACAGGGCTGGCAGGAACCATGATGACAACAGACAGCACGTTGTCATTTTGCCCCACTTTGGATCACAGCCCTGAAATCAAAGGAGAGAGAGAGCGAGTGAGGTGCTGGCTTTTAAGCTAGTTAAAAATTTTAGATGACAAAGAGCTGCTGTTTTCAGAGCACTCTTCTTATACAATCGAAGAAACAGCCCATGAAATAGGCTGCCAGTCATCTATGAAAATAGGGGTGATTTGACTCCCATCCTGACCACCAGCCTGGGGTTTCTAGGTGGTTGATGCCTGGAGAGGTTTGAGGGACACGAGCAAGTCTCACCCCAAGTAATTCGGCCTGAGACTCAGCCCAGGGTCTGAAGTTCCTGCCTTAGAGATGTCTTCATACATTCACTCACACAACAAATAATTATTGAGCTGCTAGCACCCACCACATACTGCATGAATAAAAGTGATGCACAAAACAGACAAGGTCCCTGCTCTCAAAGAGCTTCTATTCCAGAACAGCCATTCTCAAACTTAAAAGGGTATCAGCATCCCCTGGACGGCTTGTTGAAACACAGATCACAGGATCCCACCCCCAAAATTTCTAATTCCCTACGTCTGGAGTAGGGCCCAGAATGTACATTTCTAATAAGTTCCTAGAGAGGGTGGGGGAGCTGATGCTGCTGGTCCTGCTGTGTACCACTGTCCAAGTGAAAAAAACACCATGAAGAATAACAGTTCCAGGATTATGAGGTTGGTAATGTGGTGAATAATCTCCCTCCCAATTTCGCTAATGATCTACCCTGCCCCCAATGTCTGTGGTACACAGTGCCCAGAGGCGGCCACATCTACCAGAGGTCTTCCTGCCCTTTGGTGGTTTGGAACTGACTCCAAACATTACTGTCAAGTGATAAGTCAGTGGGCTTTCTGCCTGCCTGTCCCATCCCAGTCTTGGGAGATCTATTTCCCTTTGTTCTAGGTCATGTCAGGGTGTCAAAAGCTGCAGCTTCAATCCCGAGTATAATACAAGTTTGCCATAAAAATACAACAGAGGATTCCCGAAGCCACAGAATGAAGGCTTTTACAATATCAATTCAACCCTTGTAAATTTAATCCAGGGTTATTTGTTGCACCAAAATCTCTTTACCGTGATGTATTACTTAGTTACTGGGGTTATCACAGCCGTATCCTAAAGTTGCATAGTACATAAAACATTTCAGTTAACAATGCAGGAAGGTTAACTCCCCCAGATAACCTGCAATCACAAGGGCTAGTCCAGATGACATGCCTCTGTCAGCTTCCACGAGCTATTGATGGTTCAATCAGTTTGTTTTGAAGGTAAAGTACAACAAAAGGGCAGTAAACTTATTCAGACTGTCAACAGGGGCTATCGGGAATGGGGCTTGCAGGTAAGTAATTCTGGGTGTTTTAAGGCTATTATCAAACAGCAATGGTTGAAGGAAGAGACAGCTACTAATAACACAGAAGGCAGCCATCATAAACCACTTTATGGCAGAAACCCCCGTCTATAAATCCTGCGACACCCGGAGACAGCTTCAGATTTATAAAACTGCTTGTTAAGCCAGGGCACTGCTTAATGAAAAGAGATCGGTCTAAGTTCTGAGTTTCACATCCCTAGCTCCAGAGGACAACTCCAATTTTCCTGACCTTCCCAAGGTGGCTAGGCGAAAGCCATGGGGCGGGGGGCTGGAAGTCAGGGGCACTCTTGACCGTGATATGGAAGGTGAGGTTATCGAGAAGAGATCAGGGATCCTGGGAAGGTGTGTAAAGACCCATCTGTCTCCGTCTAAAGGCAGATTCTCTAAAAGTGAGACCCACACAGAAAGCTTTTCAGGCTCTCTCTCTTTTCATATTAAATGCTCCATTTTCTTAAAGGACTCCTCAAAGGAGACACCTGAAACTGTCAGGGGGAGAAAAGGAAGAGCAGAAAGACTTTGGTGTGTGTTTGTTTTTTGCTCCCAAATCAATTTTCTCTGCCCAAATCCCAAAGCTCTGGCATTTTTCATCTAGACTTCAAAGGGAGAGAAGGGTGCTCTGTCCTCCTGCTCAAACTGCTACCCCAGGGGAAGCTAGCTGTTCCAGTAACAGCACAATCACAGAAACACCAAGATGGATCTCCATTGTCTGCTCCTGGGATTGTTTCTTTCTCTGAAGAGATTCTACTAAAGAAATACCAAGTTTCCAAATCTTAAGGAAATCAGAATACAAGGTCACCTGGAGTTTTTCCCTACTTCTTTCCATTTATGGCAATATGGAATGGCCATTCTTCCCCTTATTTCTTGCAGGCACTCCGATACATGGGGGTGGGGTGGGAGAGACACAGTGCAAGCGACTGATGCCCTACTAGGGGCCCCTGAAGTCAGCAATGGGTGACCCAGGAATCGTTCTCGGTCTTCCACAAAGCTTAACAGAAG